CAAATAACAAAAACTCAGAAACAGATATTGGGGTTCAAGCAGAAGATCAGAAAAGCAAAGCAGCCAAGCCACTAGAGAATTCTTACCTCTATCAAGGGTCAGACAAATAAAGGGGTGTTACTGTCCTCAACGTGACTGCAGATGGCAACGCTCTCCACCAAACCTCAAACTGTGCTGAGCTCCTGTCTCTTTCCCCTCATATTTCTCTCTCTGCCCAACCATATCACATCTGTCTCCACCTCCCTAGTGCTGGGATTAAAGGCGTGGGATCCCAAGTGCTGGGATCACCTTTGTGTGAGCTCTGTTTCTCCTTTAGACAGATTCAATCTTGTGCAGCCCAAGGTGGCCTTGAGCTCACAGAGATCCCTCTGCCTTTGTCTCCAAAGTTCTGGGACTAAAGGTGTGTGCCACCACTCCCTGGCCTAGAGAGTGGCTTAGCTCTGCACTCTGATCTTCAGGCAAGCTTTATTTGTTAAAACACAAACAAAATATCACAATACACAGTAGGTCTAGGGGAGAACCCTATGCTGTTTAGACACAACACAGTATTTCTTCTGAGTTTAAAACATCCCCTCTGAAGTAATTAAGGGAGCCATTTTAGGGTTTGCAAGAGACATGACTCTAGAGGGGTTCCCAGGTCCAAGGAGAGGTCCCCAGATTGTTTCTTGGGCAGCAGAGGAGAGGGTGCCTGAACTGGCCTTGGCCCATAGACACACTGATGAATATCTTGCATTTCACCACAGAACCTTCATCTGGCGATGGATGGAGATAGAGACAGAGACACACATTGGAGCACTGGACTTAGCTCCCAAGGTCCAAATGAGGAGCAGAAGGAGGGAGAACATGAGCAAGGAAGGCAGGACCACGAGGGGTGTACCCATCCACTGAGACAGTGGGACTGATCTAATGGGAGCTCACCAAGGCCAGCTGGACTGGGAGTGATGGAGCATGTGATCAAACTGAACACTCTGAATGTGGCTGGCAATGAAGGCTGACTGAGAGGCCAAGGACAATGGCACTGGGTTTTGATTCTACTGCATGAACTGACTTTGTGGGAGCCTGGTTTGTTTGAATGCTCTCCTTTATAGACCTGGATGGATGGGGGAGGACCTTGGACTTCCCACGGGGCAGGGAACCCTGACTGCTCTTAGAACTAGAAAGGGAGGGGGAGGAAGGGAGGGGGAGGGAAAAGAGAGGTGGGGAGGAGGTGGAAATTTTTAATTAATAAATAAATAAATAAAACATCCCCTCTCCGTTACGTTATTTCTAACCAGATGAATTCCAAGTTACCGGGATACATCTATGAATGTGGGCCCTCAATCCTTTTTCTATTATGGAATTCTTGCTTCTGAGTAATGTAATATATTATTTCCAGTGAATTCAACCAATGACAAGCCTTCTCTCTCTGCTTCATCTGCATAAATGGTATGTATTCACCAAAGGCAGGAAGTAAATCTTCATTTTGGTAATTTCAAAATGTGTCCTTTTCATATCAGCTAAACAGTCTTGATTTTATGAGCTCTGAACTCAGTCATGGCCACCCTCACTCCCCACAGTTTGGGTGTTTCCCAGTTGACACCTCTTTCTTTTAATCCCCGGGAAGCTATGCTTTATCCCAGCTTTGTTCACCTCTCTCCACTGCTCACTGCTCTAACTATCCTCTTCTCCTTCCATCTGGAATCCCTGTCTCATCACGTTCTTATCCTAAGTCTGGTACCCCACTGCTGCCCCAACCATCTGCGTCCCTGTCCCCTGTCCTTCATTATTTACTGGGAACCATGATGACTATTCATTGTCCTTCCCTGGCTCTTCCCTGGTATATCAGTCTGGCTTCCCATCCACGTCAAAAGGAACGAGTGGAGAAGCAGAGTACCTCCATATTGTTTTCTCGTTAATAAGTCTGTCCAGTGTTTGACCATGCTCCTAGCCATGTGTTCATTACCACACATTTATAAATACATACATTTATACAATCATTGACTAGTATCTATGAGTATGCAGTGGACTATGTCCTCAGTACGCTAGACATACACCCACATTTCAGATGGCTTTTGAATGACTTTCAAAAAACAATAATGAAGCTGATAGAAAGATTATACTTGGAGTAAAATAAAACATGGCTGTCCTGCTGCCCTCTTTCTGTTTGCCTGTGCTTTTATTACAGAGGTTTGTCTCCTACAAAGTCTTTACAGGAATCAGAGTTGCATTTACAGGTTTTAGCACAACACTGCATATAACACGGCGTTCTTAATAAGTACTTATTAATCAGCTAAAGGAATCTGTGTTAGTATTCAAGCATCTGTACTGGCCTGTCCTTAGGGTCCTGACAGAATATGTCCTTAGCTGCAGCCACTAAGAGCATCTTCTGTGCACATTCACTACGTTCCCTTTGAAAAGGTAGACCTTGCCCATCTCCTGTTTCTTTCTCTCTGTCTCTCTGCTTCTCTGTCTCTATCTATCTGTCTCTCTATCTCTCTTTGTCTTCTGCCACTGTTGACCCCAAGGACCAGTCTCTGCCCCCCTCTCTGCCCCTGTAACATGAGGGCCTGCTTGTTGGGGTTTCTATCCTGCCCAGTTCCTACAGCCGGTAAGCCCCAAAGAAATTACACAGAGGTCTCCATAAGTTATAAACTGATTGGCCCATTAGCTCAGGCTTCTTATTAATTCTTATAACTTATATTAATCCATTATTCTTATCTATGTTAGCCACATGTCTCAGTACCTTTTTCAGCGGGGCAAGTCACATCCTACTTCTTTGGTGTCTGGACAGAACTGTGGAAAGAGCTTCCTTCTTCCCAGAATTCTCCTGTTCTCATCACCCCGCCTCTACTTTTTGTCTTGTTGTTCTGCCTATACTTCCTGCCTGGCTACTGGCCAATCAGCGTTTATTTAAAACATAATTGACAGAATACAATTGTCTCACACAGTGCCCCCTTTTTTACCCCTTCTCTCTCCTCCTCCAATAAAATCTCCTATGTGACCCTTATTGTAAGGCATGACAATATGCATTAGCATTTAGGTATTTTGTGTTAAAAAAAAAAAGATGAAACGGAATCTAAGGTTCTATGAGAACTCAGAAAAGCTGCGGAGATGAGGCCTGTGTGGTTGTGTATTAACGATCCTCTCTTGGGAACGAGATAGCCCTGAGCAAGCAGAAATGCATGGAGCTCAATAGAATGAAAGCCAAAACATTATTGTCGGGAAGTCGTCCAAAATAAGAGAAAGCAAGTACAATTGGTCTTCTTAACGCCTTCCTATTCTAGATCAGTGGTACAGCATGAGGCCCTGGTCTCAAAGACTTAGGAGAAAGACCAAAAAGGAAAGAAGGAAGGAAGGGGCAAGGGGAGGAAAGAGAAGGGAAGGGTAACAGAGGGAAGGAGGGAAGGAGGAAGGGAAATTAATACACCCTTGATGGTTTTCAGTTATCTTAACAACTTCTCTGTGTGTCTAAAATAAAGTCAGTTCTCTCAGAGCCAGGAGACCTGTGGTGCAGCTAAGCTGTGCCCACTGGTTATTTTTTTTGTTTTATGTTTTATCCACATTAATGTACATATCAAGGGGTTCAGCACATGACACAGCACACACTGACCACACCCAACCTCTTTATCCCCCCCCCCATTATAGTCATTCTTAGTAGCTGGGTCTTCTCTACTTTTCCTGTCACAGCGTATGATCCCATTTGCCGCTAACCTGGCCGTCCAAAGGTGTCCAGTGGGCCAGACCCATTCTTCAAAGGCACGTGGGCTCATCAAATCAGTATGTGGGGAACTTCTTGACCCAGGGTCACCTTAAAGACAGTACACAGGGTGGAGACACGGCCCAGTTGTCTCCTTCTGCCTCGTGAGTTACAGTTTCCATCCGAGTTCAGCCTGCACAGCTCACAGGGTAGAAGCAAGGGCAGTCCCCAGAGCTGGGGTTACAGGGTTAATTTGAACTCCTCTCAACTTTTACTTCTCGTGCCACCACACACACACACACACACACACACACACACACACACACACACACACATCTAGTTATCCTCTGAGCCCCACAAGTATATGGTAACATTCATTCACATGTCGACAATAAGTACATACATACATACATGTAGTAAAGGTGTGTTGCTGCAACTTGGGTATACAGACTTATTTATGTGACCTAATTTATTTAACCTGTGCTTTATGTAACTTTTTTTCTGAAGATTTTGGCAGCCAGAGAGGAAGGTGGAGCGACATGGGAATGCTAGGAACCAAACACTTTTCCCTTTGATTCTGAGTCTTAATCCACTAACCAGCCCTTTCTCTAAAGGTGGTTTAAACGATTTCTACCTACGTTAGAAATAAAAGCTGCAAGTGTCTATTTGTACCACAAGGTGTCAGCCCAGGATAATTTAATCTTTAAAGGCCTTTTTACAGGACATTTTTTTTTTTTTTTTGAGTCAGTGAGTCCGGAAAAAGTGTATAGAAAGCATTAAAATATGCAGTGTAGTGAGGTGTGGTGGACCAGGCCTTTAAATCCCCGTACTCAGGAGGCAGGGGGATCTCTGTAAGATCGGAGGTTTGTGACCCAGGGTGGAGACTCAGCTCAGTCGGTAAAGTTAGCCTGAGTTCAACCTGCAGAACTCACACGTTACTGGTTTATTTCGAATGCCTTTCAACTTTTGCTTTGTGTGCCCCCCCCCATACACACACATCTAGTTATCCTCGAATAGCCACATGGAACATTCTCCCACAGACCAACAATGAATGAATAAATAAGGGATGATGTACGTAGTGAGTTCCAGGTCAGCCAGAGTTCATAGCGAGACCCTGTTTCGATGGAAATAAAATAATAAAACAAAGCATGCAGTGCTTGGCGCCCTGTGGATAAAGGGTAATCGCGGGGAAATGGCTGGGAGTTTGTTTTGCTTTACGTTTCCTAACCAGACTAGTTCTGTAAACGCTGTGCACGAAATTCCCGAGATGTTGCAATTGAGAACTCAGTCAGTAATTACTGAGTCGACTTCCACTTCCGAGGAGGAGATCCCGCTGACAAGTTCTCTTTCTGAAACTTTCGAATATTGACGGTAACTTTCCTGTTGGTTCGTAATACTTGATTGAGTCGAGACGCTGCAGTTAATAGGTGGGATGAGGAGGTGAAAGTCACTCACAAACTCTGACTCGTTCTCGGACTGTACTGACAGCTAGTTCTCAGAGAAGCTGTTATGCTTCAGCGAGAGCGCTGCCCTGCAGATGGAGACCTGGGTTCCCTGCAGTCTCACGCAGGAACAGGCGAAATCCACAACTCCGGGTTCCGTCCAGACCTCATCCCGAATGCCATAGGTCCCGGCAGTCGGTGTTCAGCGAGCCCACCAGGTGACGGTTTCGCCCTGTGAAGTCAGTCCCAGGAGTGCTGCAGAGAAGGACTCGCCCCTCGCTGGGAGCCTGAGAAGGGTCAGGCAAAGGCCAAGTCCACGCCCCTGCGGGGGCGCCACCCACCGCCGCCCAAGCGACCCCGGGTGAGCGGGCGCTGGCGGCCGGCAGGGGGCGCTGTGCGACGACGGCCGAGAGGCGGGGTCTGAGACGCAGGCTGCTAGCTGCGGGAATCAGGCTCCCCGTGGGCTGGGAGTCCCAGCAGCGGCTCGCCGTTGGGTCCCACGGAGGAGCGGGTGAGTCCCTCGTGTGGTTCGCAGGCCACTTGCTCCTCGTCTCCACGGGCCCTGAGAAACTGTGCGGGCCTGGGGGAGGGAAGAGGGTGCGTGGGGGTGGGAGGTCCCTGCGAGCCGGCAGGGTGCTAGGGGCACCGCAGCTCTGAACCGCCCTAGGCGGCCCCAGCGGGGAGCAGGACTCGGAGGCCCTGGTGCTAGAGCTTGGGATTAGGATGGTGGTCAAGTTTGCAGTCTGATTGGGTTCAGGTGGTAAGTTTGCCAACTTGGCAAAGTCTCCTCGAGTTTGCATCGCTTAATGAGTGGCTGGTACCTGTGCTGTTTGTTTGGGTTTCTGGTTTCCTAGTTAATGGAATTTTTCATTCTAAGTACTTGGAACACCGGTCTTTCAGGATCAGGGTGGGATTCGGATTTTCCTCCAAAATTGTCAGGCAAGGCTTTTAATAAGTTACTCTGGTGAAATCAACTGACTGGCATTTGTTAGACAAAGAATTTAAGTACCCATCGCATTTGGTCTCACTGTTCCATTGGGGTAGGGATGTGCTCACAACTCAGTATTTAATCAAGGGTATTTATTTTTGCATTAATGTTCAGAACAATGCTTTAAGAATCAACACTGTGAAGAACACCCCCCTCTCCCAGTAGTTGACTGTGGCAAAGCCAAAATGCGTTTGAAAGTCCCCAAGACGGGGCATACACTGCAACCCACAATGTGTTCCAGTCATTGGGTTTCTTGAATTCTAAACTCCTGGCCATAAACATGAGTCAGTTGGGCTGTGTCAATATTTAGCAGGAACAGCAAACCAGCCATCCTAGTTCAGCCAAACAGAAATCATGTCAGAATCTGTGCTTCGCCTCTTAATGGGGAATTGTTGGTGGATACTGGGTCAAATCCTGGAGTGCTTGACACCTCACACTGCGCTGTTTCCTGCTGAGATCGCTGGGCAGTCTGATATAACCTCTCCCCCTGCAGAACTTCAATTATGTGTTTACCTGCTGTCTAATGGAAGCCAGCATGTTTTATTTAACTGATATTTTGTTTTCCTGGTTTCTGGGCACGCAGTCAGCAATCACCCTTACTGACGGGAGTGTTTTTCCTTGGCCTTGCTCCTCAGCATGGTACCGTACCGTGCAAACAAGCGGCTGGGCACCTCCTGGGGCCGCGCTGGCTTTCTACCCAGAATCTCCACGTAGTGGTTCTCTGTCGGCAAGCACTGGCATCTCGCTGCATGGCACAGGACTGGGTATAGAAGAGAGTTCTCATCCGTTTCCTCTGCTTCCTTTCCCGAGCCACCATCCGTCTCTAAACCTTTGTCCTTTAAGAGGCATGGCATTGCCACACAGTTCTTGCTGGAGTGTTTGCCTGTCCTAAACCAAAGGGGTTTTGAGGTCTTCTCATTTAACTTTGTATTTTCCACATCTGACATCATTCACAGTGTGTTTCGTGAATTAGCAGTGAGCAACTATAGATTTATCCTTACGTCACTTTCTTTACCATATTGAACCTCTGGGGTTAAAATACGCTCTAACCTTAGTCCATCGTTTCTTGTGTTTTGATCCATGCATGCTCCTCTGGTCCTAGGCACCCCTCCCAAACTGCTCTTTATAATATGGATTAAGCTTACCAAATGGTATGAAATAATGCTTCTGGAAGACTGTAAGCCCCTCCAGGGCAGGCATGAAGTCTCATTTTTTTCCTCTTTAGTGTCTATGGGGGCTTGGCCTTCTGAGTGCTTCTTGAATGGCATACACTTTACCCAGAATTCTTTCAAATAACAATGGTCAACACCCGACTCAGACAGACAAACAAACAAAAAAGGAAAGTATTAAGATGTAGTTGAGAAATCCAAGATTTGGTCTCAGGTACTTAAACCATTAAATATTTAAACTATTGCCACCAGTCACCAGGACTTGTCCTTCATCTCTTATTTGGTTTTTCAGTGTTGGCTTTCCTGTGTTCAGATGAAGTCTTCCAGCTTACACAGGGGGTGGCATGGTAGTTTTATACAACCCTAACTTAACAAAATGTTAAGAGCATCTCTGCATTCTCTGCCTCCTGGAGAGGATATCAGAAGAGAACTTAATCTGCCCACTAGACTTCTCCATCCTAGCTACTCGGTGTGATCACAGGAATTGGCCAACCCTGGGTCATCTTCCTGCAACCGGAAGTCTAATAGTCACATAAGCGCAATAAGGTATCTTGAGGATACAATGCAAGTTTGAACAGGACGCTCATTCAGGCTTCGTATACACTTCGTATGTATGTGCTTGGCCTGAAGATGATGTTCTATAATGCACTTACTGCTCGAGGTGGCAGCATGTGCCTCTAATTCCAGTGCTCAGGAGGCGGGGCAGGTGGCTCTCTGAGTTTGAGGCCTGCTCCATATAGCAAGTTCCAGGTCAGGTAGGATTGTATAGTGAGACCCTATCTAGAAAGTGTACAGTATAATATATTTGCTATTTTCCTCTCATGCGGTCATGTGTGGAATTTCCCACCGTGTTACCACGTCAACACTCCAGTTTTGCGCTTGGGAGCAATTTTGCGGTCTTCACAGGAGGGATGCTCGACCTACATTCTCATCGTGAACGTTTCAAGAAAGGTACTTCTGGAAATAGTTCCCAAAGTGCCTTAACTATAAAATGTTGGTGTTAGGGAAAGGTGACCCCCTCTGTTCTTTGTAAAGTCTTGACCTTTAAAACTTGGAAAGTATTCTGAGTATTACAACCTTTCCCTGGAAAGAACTTTCCACTTCATAAGGTGTTGCAGGTGGTCCAGACTTCCATAGTGTTCGGAATGTTTTCCAACAGCATAGCTGTTGTGTGTTTAACTTCTTTTCCTCTTTCATTTGACAAAGTACAAATTGCAGGTGTAATCCCCTAAGAATGAAGTTAGAGCTCACTCAGAATAATGACTAAACTAATATGTGAAACATGATTAATGAAAACTCAAAGACAGAAATTGGGGTTCAACCTAAAGATTTGTAAAACAAAGCAGCCAGCCACTGGGTCTTACCTTGACCTCGATCCGAAATGGCGGTTGTACCTCCATGAATCCTCAGAATGAGACTGTGTCTGAGAGCTGTCTCCTCCCATCTTCTATTCCTCTCTAGGGCTGGGATTAAAGACATGCACCACTACTACCTGGTTTCTTTGACAAACTAGTGTGGCTACTGGGATTAAAGGTGTGTGTCACCACTGCCTGGTCTGCAAGGCTGGCCAGTGGGGCTGATTTACTCTCTGATCTTCAGGCAAGCTTTATTTGTTAAAATACAAATGAAATGCCACTATAAATATGACATCCTGCATCTCCTGGATAAAAAAGGCTGAACCAAGCCTGGATTGGTCTTCATGAAAGCCCTTAAGGAATAATTTTCTTTGTTTGGGAAATTTTTTAAAATATTTATTTATTTATTATGTATACATAAATCTGTCCATGTGTATGCCTGAAGGCCAGAAGAGGGCACCAGACCTCGTTACAGATGGTTGTGAGCCACCATGTGGTTGCTGGGAATTAAACTCAGGACCTTTGGAAGAGCAGGCAATGCTCTTAACCACTGAGCCATCTCTCCAGCCCTTGGGAAATTTTTTTGACTAGCTTCTTCTCCATGGAGTTGAATGCAACTCAGCACCCTATTGGAAATAGATGAGCAGCCATGTTTACCAACAGGACTTGTTCAAAGGGCACTCTGACAATACAACCTTTTGGATCTTGAAGCAACTGTTGGGATTCACCCTGATAATCTTGTCTCTGCCGTTCACTGCCTTCGGGAACACTTCAATTTACAGATAAGTTAATTATTGTCTCAGATTTCAACCCCGGAAGCCCGTGAAACATGTCTTCCTGATGTTCTGTATCAGCTACCTTAGGCCTCCATTGATAGCGTTGTTGTCAAAGCCAAAGACTGCATTCCTGATTCCATTTACCTTTAAGGGGAATGAGCTTTCTTCTAACTGGGAATCTTCCTGAAGTAACAGCTATTCCTCGATGTTTCCTACAGCTACAGGCCATCCACTGAACAAATAGCTGACTTTAATGCTCTGCTTCGCCACTCTCTAAATGCCCGGCTTGTTCACTATTTGAACCTTAATTGTATCTATCATCTCTTATTCTAAAGTGAATAAATACTTTATATTGTTCCATCAAACAATAGTATCATTAATGGAATAGACTTTTTTTATTTTTCTAGGTAGCTGAAGCCTTACTATTTTATAGCATTTGTGGAGATTGGTAAAGATATTACAAAGCAAGAAGAACTTTGGAAAATGAAGCCTGAGAGAAATCTGGATGATGACACCTACTCGGTAAAATAATGAGTGTAATAGCTAATAATTAAAATCAATGCACACTGCGAGTGTATTCTGAACTTGCTAGTGTTGAGAAAGTGCATCCCATTCTAGTCTGCTGGTCTCTGTGGCTGAAGCTGGCCTGAGTCTGGGCAGTGTGGTATAATTGAACTGACTTGACTGATTAGCTGGGCTTAGCTGAATAGCCTTCGTTGGGTCCCTGAAAATCTGAGGTCTTGTATTTCTGTATAAAGTGAATGAACTGGACTAGATAATCTCCAGAGCCCTTTAAGTCCTTTCCAACACCTCTGGTTCTAAGTTTAAAAACAAAAATTACGAAGTCCCATTTACTAGTAGTTTTGTGAACATTTTCATAGGCACTGTGGGAGCTCACAGGAGAGACCTCCATGTGGACTATGACTCAGAGTTTAAACAGATAAATCTTTTCAGGCAAAGAATCATTTATCCCACTCTGGGCCAACCACAGGATTAGATGTTTCTTACTACAACATATGAAAAAGTGTTAGGAATTTTCAGTTCCAAATACTTACCTTTTTAAAATATGTAAAATGCAATTATAATAGATTATTAATTATTCAAAGAGGGAAAAGATTAAGAATTGCAGGCATATATCCTACAAAAATAACCCCGGAAAACAAATCATTTTCATTTTTCAAGTAAGCTCTCTTACTGACTGTACCCTAATTTTCACTCTTAGCTGGAAAATTGTTCTCAGCTAATTCACTTGAGGTGTGTTAGCACGTAGGAGTTAGAGAGGCCACTTCCCCTGTGGAGTGTAATGAGAAAGACACTGTAGAACCGTGGTTTCTGACTCAAAGGAGAATCCAGATGGGTTAGAGAGGTCGTTCTCCATCACCGGGAGTTATGGGGTCTGCAGGAAATGCGATGAGCGAGATAACTGACTGTCAGGACAAGCAGCGGAGGCTTCTCCTTCGGCACGCATGGAGCTATGAACATGGAAACTGAAATCAGGGGTAGGAAGCCAGCGGTTCGTGAAGGAACATGATATGGAACACTCTATGGTCTTAATTTGAATTTTGTAAGTTTGTTTCGGTGTATCCCTTGTGGAAAAGACAGATTGTTCGGCCCACATTCTTTTTGAATTACTGACTACCAAAAACGCGGTGGACAGAGGGGTGTGAACTTGTGTGGAAGCAGCGGCACAGTTACATAATGAAATTCGTGCTTTTTTCCACTCGTAACAGCCCTATTCCTCCTGATCCTTTGTTCTGCCACTGTTCTGTATAAGTGCCCAGGAACCAACAGAAACATTGCAGGTCACCCAATATGATATACACGTTTGCTGGTTTTGCCAAAGAAAATTGGAATTTTTTTTAATAACTTCTTTTCATTTTGGCTTCTTAAAATGATGCCATTATTTCAAATCTTCAAGAGACATGGCTAAGCTTTAGCATGTCAGCACGTCTCTCTTTCATTTTAAAGAGAACTGGAATCCAGTTTGGTGGCAACACTCGCACAGAACCTGGCCGATCAGTTCAGCTATGTAGGGAGCAGGAGGTCTGCCTGGGCTACAGGAGATTCTGTCTCAAACACAAAGAAGGAAGTACGCCGGTGTCTCAAGGTGCACCTTTGGTCAGTCATACCCAGACTGTACCACAGCTGAGTGGTATTCACAAGCAAGTCTCTGAGTGCCCTATTCATTGAGAAGCACAATGGTGGAGCAGGAAGGTAGAGTGAAGGAAATCCATTGCTTTTTCCATTAAGATGTCCCCTTTCTTTCTTTCTTTCTTTCTTTCTTTCTTTCTTTCTTTCTTTCTTTCTTTCTTT